TGCCCCCCGTCTGCGCTGCGCGGCCTGTGTATCTGGCCTGGCTTCCCTCACAGTTCAGCCTGAGTGTGAGCCGAATGGAAACCAGATGGGCCAGCAGTTCCCACTGTTATCTCCCAGCTGACTCTGGCAGGCCTCCCCCAGCCCTCCTTCCTCCGCAGGACAGAAATATTTGCCTTTATTTAGGGTGACTGGGATCGGCCGCCGCACCTTTCCCGGGCTGCAGCGCCGCAGAGCCGGGGGGCCCGTTGCCGAGGGTGGTGGAGGTGAGTGGGCTGTGTAAGGCGTTTCACCGTCGGAGGAGGGGTTTGAAACCTGCCTAACTTGTGTGTTTTTCTAGAATACTTGATTTACTGATACCGGGTTTCTGGTTTGTTTTTGTTAATCCTACCCCAGGATATTTTTCCACTGATTTTCAGAAAGAGAGGGAGGGAAGGAGGGAGGGAGAGAGAGAGACATCGATTGGCTGCCTCCCTCACGTGCCCCAACCAGGGCCGGGGATCGAACCTGCAACCCAGGTACATGCCCTTGACCAGAATCAAACCTGCAACCCTCGGGTGCGTGGGCAGAGGCTCTAACCACTGAGCCACACTGGCCAGGGCTACCGATCCTGCTTCTTCAACGATGGGGAATAGCAATAGGAGGACAGTTTTTAACAGGGAGATAAAGGTGGAGCCGCCCTCCCTCGGTGCTTTTACCGTCACCTCCGCAGAGCACACTCACTCGGGGGGACACTCGCTGCAATTCAGACGGCAGCTAGAGAAGAGCAAATAGGACCCCATCCTGGTAACGGATCACCCTCAGGACGCGCTGTGAGAATGGCGATGGCCCCTCCGGTGGCTGCCTCTTCCCCAGGATGGTGTCTGCACAGTGCTCTGTCGTATCGTGTTCTGGCGCGGCCCACGCCGTGTGAAACTGCTTTGGATAAAGTGAGGTCGTTCTGGAGTTGTCACAGTGGTAATTTGGCCTTTCCATTTCCTCTTCATCGCTGACTTTTAAGTTATTTTGAGTAATTAACTCTGTCCCCATGTGGTTATATTTTAAAAGACCCATTCTTTGTCAACTGTCTACGTTACTTTTCAGAAAGTCAAAGTGGGACATATCTGTGTCTAAGGGTGCAGAAGGTGCCTTGAACATGTTTGGTGTATGTGTGACATATGTGTGTGTGTGTGTGTGTGTGTGTGGGCACCTCTGCACATGTTTGTGGAAAACTGGATCTAAAGAAACAAACAGAAACTTCTATTTTTTACTGGAGATTTGACAAATAGATTAGATCAAGGGAAAAAGTTTAGAATTCCAAGGGAGGAGTACACTGAGTAGAAATCAGCCCTGAAGTGCCAATGCTCATGACTGGCTCATCAGAAAATCTCTCCATAGCCGTCACCTACTCATGAAAAACATAAATGGGGGGGTCTCTGGTTCTTTTTAGTTTTCAGTTTGGAACTTCGCTTCTTCTGCCTGAGATTATTAATTGAAATATCGGCCTCATGTTTTTGAAGTGCTGGGTCATAAACTCACAAATTCTAAGTAAATAATAGCTTGACTTTGTTGTGTGACATATGACATTTGTGTAGTGGGGATTTTTCAAATAGGGCAGAAAAAACTGAAGGGAGGTGTGTGTCCTGGAGACATAATCGGCTTCATCTCACAGGCCAGAGAACTAAGTATGGAAAGGGGACGATAAGAGTTATAAAAATCACCAAATGGCCTGGCTGGTGTGGCTCAGTGGTTGAGCGTCGACCTATGAACCAGGAGGNGAGGTGTGTGTCCTGGAGACATAATCAGCTTCATCTCACAGGCCAGAGAACTAAGTATGGAAAGGGGATGATAAGTGTTATAAAAATCACCAAATGGCCTGGCTGGTGCAGCTCAGTGGTTGAGCGTCGACCTATGAACCAGGAGGTCACAGTTGGATTCCCGATCAGGGCACAGGCCCGGGTTTCAGCAGAATCCCCAGTGGGGGGCGTGCAGGAGGCAGCCAGTCAGTGACTCTCTTTCATCATTGATGTTTCTATTTCTCCCTCTCTTTTCCTCTCCCTGAAATCAATAAAGATATATATATATTTTAAAAATCACCAAACGCTGACTCCTGCCGGTATTTCACCTGCATAGCGGAACTTGAGATCCGCGTCATTTCCAAGCTGCACGAGGGGCTCATGACCGTCCCACCCCCGTCAGTTCTTTACCTCCTGCTGACGTCAGCTTCTGCTTTGAGCAGCATCTGCCCCACCCAGAAACAGCAGTAGCATGTAAGATAACCGGTTACACATGAGATCCTGCCATCTGGGCCACCCCTGCTTAGGTGGGGTCTGGATGATCAGGTCCTGACTTAAACTCCAGTAGAGGAGCCTGTTCTAGTGACAGAAGATGTTGGATTTCTTCTGTTTGCTTGTAAGAAAGGTGAACCCCACTTTAAAAACCGAGGTGCTTAACATGTTCGTGGTGGCATCCCCCAGATCGGACTGAGAAGCACTCCACGATGCCAGACTCACCTGTGGATGTGAAGACTCCATCCAGGCTGACTCCTCCCACGATGCCACCGCCCCCCACAACTCAAGGAGCCCCAAGAACCAGTTCATTTACGCCGACAACACGTGAGTAGACGCTTCTGCATTTCCTGCTTTCATTTGGAAGTTTAAAAGGTTTTGTGCAGATAACAATGAAGAGAAAAGGTCCAGCATCAATGAATTATGCAGAAATGAAGGAAAAAAGCATTTGTTTTCCAGTGAGTAGGTACTGGGTACAGATGTGTCGTGTCTTAGGTGTAATTTGTATGGCTGCCGATATTTGCCTGCCTTTCACGATTGCTTCAAAAACGTATTTTACTGTGATTTCAGTGAGTGAAGAACATGACATTTGGTCTGTAACTTGAGATGTTACCATTATAACTTTTTTAAAAAAATGTATGTTTTTGTTGATTTTAGAGAGAGGAAGGGAGAGGGAGAGAGAGAGAAATATCAATGAGTCGTTGATCGACTGCCTCCTGCACACTCCCTACTGGGGATCGAGCCCACCACCCGGGCATGTGCCCCGACTGGGGATTGAGCCATGATCTCCTTGGTCATAGATTGATGTTCAACCGCTGAGCCACACCGGCCGGACACCACTATAACTTTTAATTCGACTTCATGTGGAACTTCTTGTTTTAGTTTGTTCATTTTGACTGGAACAGGTCAATAATTATTTCCAGGTTACATCTGATCTTCTAATACTGTTTTCTTCTGTTATTCACAAGTCATTTTAAAATCGAACAGTTTTAGGTTACAGTGTTAAAAATCTAACATTTACACGCACAAAGACTTGACGCAGCTGTTGCACATGGAAAGCTTTTGAAATAAGGAGCATCCTTCTTGTCTGGAAACTGTCAGACTCCAGGAGACCTTCACTCCAGCCCATCCTGGCTCAGGTCTCGTGTCCCGAGTCAGTGCAGTGTGTTGCTTTCTGTGTCACACACGGAGAGGACAGAGTCGCAGCTTCCCTTCCTTTCCTGTATATTCTCGCAGGGACAGCGGGCAGCTTTGCTTCCATCGCTCCCAACGTCTTGGTTACAATTGTCATCAGGAGTTTGTGAAACGAATGCATGCTCTCTGGTGCAGATAGTAGTATTTATGGACCATGTGCCATCAAATCCATATGAATAAAAAAACAAAACAGGCAGAAATAGGTTCCTGGGATTACGAAGGGTCTACAAAATGCACATCCCAGACTGTGCAGTGTCGCATCGCCATTCAGAAGACCTTTTCCACTGCGGGAGGAGCAGGAGGCTGCCCAGCGCCAAGTCGAAACCCTGTCTGTCATCTCGTATTTGTTGTTATCCAAAACCATAGCGACAGGCATGTGGCCCTGGTGAGAAGTCCTAGAAGCTATCATTTCTTGACAGGCTGCTTTGGTGCTCATTTAGGACAAGAGGCCTTTTTTTTTTTTTTTTTTTTACTATCCTGAAACTTTAAGAATAATAGAATACTTAGAACATCATCAAACTGTTGTTGGAGATAGTTTGTCAAAATTATATCTAAAAATGTGTTTGGATAAGATCAGTTTGTCAAATCCATTGATCCAACATTATAAAACCAGCATTTTCTTCAGTGAGAAATGTGCCGATCTTTCTAGCCTTCTAGTTACGGATTCTCATCTTGATGTCCAAATAAATATTATCAGAAATGAATTTACCGAATTTCCACCAACTGTTATGAATGGGATAGCGATGTGCCCTGTGAGTTTCTTGACGTCACATCCTTGGTGATTACCGTATCCATATTGGCTTCTTACATAAAATGTGTATTTTTCCCTAAAGAAGTGGTTAAGAAACGTGAGGGGGAGAAAATAGCCTTCTAATTGGGTGGTATGAGGTTGAAGCTTGAAAGTCCGATCTTTGTAAACATAGCTGTCAGTTGTGTGTATAAAACATGATTAAAAATGTTCAGCGATAAATTTAGTCTCCACCAAATGTACACTTTCTCGAGGGGAGCGGCTCGGAGAGGAATAGCCCTGCCGCACTGATGGAAGCTGGTGACAAAAGGCTGACATCCGAGCGTTGTGTGCTCTGTTTGAAGTGTTTCAGGTGGTGGGCAGATGTGCGCAGGGGAGGCAGGGCTGCTGTGTCGCCGCCCGGGCCGTTGGTAACCGGCTTCTGTGCGGGACACCCCAGGCAGCGGGAGGCGTGGGCCCATCTAGTGAGACCGTGCCCCAGCCTGTGACGTCAAAGCATTTTACCAGAAAGCTCCAGCAGCGCTGTTGCTTTTCTAACTTTAAATAATTTCTTTATGCTTCAGTTATAACATAGGGAATATAGTCAGTGATACCATCATGACCCCGAGTGGCGTCGGGCGGGCACTGGATTTTCGGGGCGATCGCTTTGTAAGGCGCCTGACTGTCCAGTCGCCGGGTTGTGCGCCCGCGACGAATACAACATTGTACGCAACGGTTTTTAAACGGCCAGATTCGCCCAGCTTGCAGGGAAGGGAAGGCGGCTGCGGCTGTCCCGGGCCCTTCCCGTGGGTTGATTTTCCTCTGTCTGATTTTGTGCCCCCGGCAGTGACGAACGGCACGAGCCACTCGCCCACGGCCTTGAACGGCGCGCCCTCGCCGCCCAGCGGCTTCAGCAACGGGCCCTCGTCGTCCAGCTCCTCGTCGCTGGCCAACCAGCAGCTGCCCCCGGCCTGCGGCGCCCGGCAGCTCAGCAAGCTCAAGCGCTTCCTCACCACGCTGCAGCAGTTCGGCAACGACATCTCGCCCGAGATCGGCGAGCGGGTGCGCACCCTCGTCCTGGGCCTGGTGGTAAGCAGGGGCCCGCCGCCCCCTGGGGTCGGGGGGCGCGAGGGCGGAGCCCCAGGTGCACCCTCCTTCCCCCCAGGAGCTTCCTTCTCCTAGTTCTTACTGCTGGAGATTGCACCCAAGCCTGTGGTTCTGTGACAGGCCTTAAACTCTGCGCCATGGCCCAGGCAGGGCTCGGGTTGAACGTCGACCTAGGATCCAGGAGGTCACAGTTCGATTCCCCGTCAGGGCCCAGGCCAGGGTTGTGGGCTCGATCCCCAGCAGGGGGTGTGCAGGAGGCGGCCGATCGATGACTCTCATCATTGATGTTTCTCTCTCTCNCCATGGCCCAGGCAGGGCTCGGGTTGAACGTCGACCTAGGATCCAGGAGGTCACAGTTCGATTCCCGGTCAGGGCCCAGGCCAGGGTTGTGGGCTCGATCCCCAGCAGGGGGCGTGCAGGAGGCGGCCGATCGATGACTCTCATCATTGATGTTTCTCTCTCTCCCCCTCTCCCTCCCTCTCTCTGAAATCAATAAAGACACATAAATTTTTTTTTTTTAAATCTGCATTGTGTGCTGACCCCCACCATGGTTGCTGTTGCTGTTGGACTAATAAAGACACGGCTATGTGAATGTATTGTTTAGTCGGCCACAAATGTGCACGTGTGTATAAAATTCAATGAGTATGTCCCCCTGGCCTCGCTAGTGCTTTCAGCAATGACAGAATGTTTCTGGGACGTTAATGAGTCAATCTAAGTGGGTGCTCTTTTAACTTAGTTGCTTTGGGGGACTTTTATTGGCATAGATGAATTAGAATTTTTTTATTATTATTATTTTAAAATATGCCTTTATTGATTTCAGAGAGAGGAAGGGAGAGAGAGATATAGAAACATCAATGATGAGAGAGCCATTGATCGGCTGCCTCCTGCACGCCCCCTACCATGGGTCGAGCCTGAAACCTGAGCATGTGCCCTGCCCAGGAATCAAACCGCGATCTCCTGGTTCTACAGGTTAACGCTCAACCACTGAGTCACACCAACCAGGCTGAATTAGAATTTATAACAGATACATTCTTCTTTTATGTGTTCTCATTTTTAGGGCTAATAACATTAAAAATTGTTTATTGTGGTGAGATCTATGTAACATAGAACTTACCATTTTAACTATTTCTGAGTGAACATTCAGTTCAGTGGCATCAAGTACATTCACTGTTGTGTACCCATCACCACCATCCATCTCCAGAACTTTTTCATCACCCTAAACTGAACCTCTGTACCCATAAAACAGTAACACCCCAACTTGATCTCCCCTCAACCCCTGCAACCACTGGTTGGTCTTTGGATAGAAGCACTTCTTTGTTGTAGGTAGAGTTACTTAAGTGATTAGTTTGAGGACAGAAGTGTTGATTTGGGAACATTACAGTATATTCTATACACTGTCACACTAGGAATGAGAACATATATCAGTTTTTAGGGCCCCGAATCCCTTTTGCGTTTACATGATTCCATATATACAGGAAGGATTTTCATTGAGGAAGGTGGTTTTCGCATAGCGAACCGAGTCACGGAGAAGTTATGAGTCACATATTCTCTTCTTTTATTATGCGGGCTTATGGGGGGACTGAGATTCGGGTGATAGGCAGCAGTCTCCTGTTCCTTGAAATAGACCATTTATTTTTATTACTNAAGTCACGGAGAAGTTATGAGTCACATTCTCTTCTTTTATTATCCGGGCTTATGGGGGGACTGAGATTCGGGTGATAGGCAGCAGTCTCCTGTTCCTTGAAATAGACCATTTATTTTTATTACTTGGATTTATCAAGGGCAGAGACATACCAGTTGTGTTCTGTCAAAGAAGTTCCAGAATGAGAAGTCTGGCTGGGAGTCTGGCGCAGGAGACGTGCTTCGAATCGCAGCATCTCACGTTGACAGAGATTCTGCAGTTCAGCTTTCAGTGTTGCCTCGCCTGCTCTGCGCTCTAAGAACAAAAGCCTCACGTTCGCCGCCATCCATCACCCTCACCTTGTACCCCTGCAGGACAGGGAGGTGACACTGACAGAAGGATTTCAGCAGCTGTAGTTACCTTTGTCAGTCCCTTATCTTTCCATTTTATTCATCCTTGGGTTTTGCATAACAGGCTTTTCAACACCTAAATAAATTAGACCGAAGGACCACAGAGTAAATTCAAAGCAGTAATTGTCTTAAGAAAATGGTGACTATGAGTAAAAACTTCGTTTGACAACTGCTTTATAAATTTGGTATGTCTTTAACAGTAGTTTCCATAACTTTAAATGTGGAAAAATTTGGTGGCATACTTTTGATGGCAATGCTTTTAAAATATATTTATGTATCTGAAAAGCCTACAGAGATAAGTTGGGGGAAACATTCATTAATAGTGCTCTGTACTTAATAGGCAGGCTGTGAGCATAGGTCAAGTGAGGGAATGAATAGATGATGGATTTTGTTTTGAGCATTGAATACATGCTGTTTTATTCAAGTCTTGGGGCCATCCTTTGAGATAGTGAGTTTTATACACATTTTATATGTAGGGAAACTGAGGTTTGCAGGAGTAAAATGCACAAGGCCACTCGAATGGTAGTGACAGGCCTGTGATTGGCACTCAGGTAGTAAATCATGATGAATCTCTTTATGCTGGCATTTAGACGGAGTTAAGAATATTAGTAACTGTTTTAATGTGCAAAACATGACCAGTGTGGCTATTGAAAATGAGCCACAGAAACAAAATGGGGGAGCCGTGAAAGGTAAAGGTGGCCAAATATATGGTGATGGAAGATGACTTGGCTTTGGCTGTCAGGCACACAATGCAATGCACAGATCATGTATCATGGAAATCTACACTTAAATCTATATATGTCATCCCAATAAATTTAATTAATTAAAAATGTAAAAATATTTATTAACTGAAAAAAAAGAAATAAAAGATTTTTATAAAAAGACTCCCTGGCCTCTATTATCACAGGTAGGAACCTAGTGTTTATTCATAGATTCATGATAATATGTTTTTAATTTGGGCGTATAGAAAGCTTAGAACTTGGTACCCCATACTTTATCATAAAAGAAAAAGGAACTGCACAGAAAAGTGGGGAACAACATTCTAAATCTGTTAGGTCACAAAGCCCCCAATTTTGTCAGGCATGGGGATAACTGAAGGCTTGGAGCTCCGACTGTAGTTTACAGTTGCGATCCTGCCTGGAGACCAAGGCAAACGAACCAAACATAGTTAATTTACTGAGCACCTTTACAATAGGTTGACTGACTGTTGAGTGGATGCTTTTATCAGTACACATTACCCACTGCAGGATACAAACCCTGAGGCCCTTGGGCTTGTTTATATGGGGTAGGTTAGGAGTGAATTTGGGTCACTTTGTAGTCTCTTTTGGGTTGAGCGATGAGCGTTGCCCCTACGCTAAATGAAATATCTGTGATAACTGGGGGATTTCTTCACCCTCTATAAGACTCTGCAAACCCGAGGAGGCTCAAACTCCTCTGACTTCAATAGTGTAACACGCTACTGGTGCGTTCTGAGCAGAGATGCTTTGGCAGACAGGAAAGAATGTAAGACGGGCCCGGCCGGCGTGGCTCAGTGGTTGAGCATTGACCTAGGATCCAGGAGATCGAGGTTCAATTCCCGGTCAGGGCACATGCCCAGGTTGCGGGCTCCATCCCCAGTCGGGGGTGTGCAGGAGGCAGCCGATCAATGACTCTCTCATTATGGATGTTTCTCTCTCTCTCCCTCTCCCTTCCTCTCTCTGAAATCAATAGACATATTTAAAAAACAAAAACATGTAAGATGGAAGGACAGGAGAGTATTTCCACCATCAGCAATACAGACCTGACATGTGGGATGAATTGAGATTCTGACACTTGCCTTTTGCCCGCTGTGTGATCAGTGGTGATTTTAAATACACCCAGATGTGTTCGCTTTCCACAAAGGTAGCATTCAAAGGTCCTTCATAACTGCGGGGACCTCTCTAACTAAACTATGCCCATTATTCTCAGAGCACCATGTTTATTGTCTTTCATTCTCAGATGTTATTTGTAGAGGTGGGTGACACAATGAATTATGCGATATTTTTTACCAAGCCGAAGGGTATTATATTGAAAATACTGCTTTCGTTACGGGTGTCTGCTGGTCACCATGCTGCGTTTGAACAGTATTGGGAGCTCTTAGTCTCAGTGTTTGTCTATAACACATATTTTCTTCCCCAGAACTCTACTTTGACAATTGAAGAATTTCACTCCAAACTGCAAGAAGCTACTAACTTCCCTCTGCGACCATTTGTCATCCCGTTTCTGAAGGTACATGGCTCACTGGTCTGGAAAGTATCTCAGGCCGTATCGTGGCTGGGTCACAGCGGTGTTTCTTTTTAGGAGTGTGGGGGGGTCAGAAATGTAAGGGGGCTTTTACTTAGTTTACTGGGTGAAAACTACCTGAATATATGGTGTTACGATCACTTCCGAAGTAGTCTTGAAATTCTCCTACAGAATGTTTTGAATAGTTAAGTTGGGAGGAGAGTTGAGAAATACCTCTGAATAAAGGTTTTGTTTGTTTTTTGGTCCTTTGAGTTCTATTTTACATTTGCTTGTCCTTAGAATGAACAGAAGATTGGTTGTGCTTTTTAGTTTTTCAGAGTTTTTTTTGGTAATCCGTCTAATTTATTTTTGCGATGACCTAACGAAGGAGAAAGAGCAGACCCTCATCCCTTTGCCAGGGAAGAAACTGGGAGTCAGCGACCGCGCCAGGGTCTGTCCGCCCGAGTGTTGTTTGGGGTGTGGGGTTAGAAGCAGTTTTTCATTCTCAGTTTTGTGGTTCTCACTTCCTCCAGCTGCCGCCTCTTCCACTGAGCTACTGGAAAACATAAAAAGAGTTCACAAGAGAAAGAAGGGGCATTTTTTATTTGATACAGCAGGCGGTTGATTCACTGATGGATACGAAAAGGACTGATAGTTTTGATAGAAAAGCAAATCGTGTGTGCTGCTTGGGCACCGTGGCTTGTCAGGGAACAACGTGGAAGGGCAAACCCATTTTTACGCGAAGAGCGGGCCTTGCAGATTGATTAATGCGAAAGACGCATGGCCTTCACCTTTTTTGGTTGTTTTTTTTTTTAAACAGTCTTTTTTTTTTTTTTTTTTTTTTTTTCCAGA